TGCTAATGTGGTATCAAGACTGGCTCTTAGAGGGCTTCCAAGAAGAAGCTGGATTCCTTTGAAGTAGTTTATTGGACCTTTCAACCCCTGATTGTGATATAAGATAGGTGCTGGAGGTTAAATTTAAACCCCCATGGCCATTGATGCAATCATTTGTGCATATGTAGTGAAACGTTGATGAATACTTTTGAGTAATAAGAATTCTTCCATTTTGCTATCTCAAGTGGTATCTTTCATAAATAAAACTTTAAAGGTAATAGTGCTTTCTTAAATTCTATGAATCATTCTAGAAAATGACTGCTGATCATGGGATGCCCGACTTTGTAGTCAGAGTTCCCTCAGTCCCAACATTTTATTTATCATACACTTAGGGTGAAGAGAAAAACCCATTCATATGGTGGCTTGGCATGGGATGTGGTTATCAACATAAGAAGAAAACCTCCCTAAAGACATGTGCTGTCTAGGGGCATCCAAGTCCAAGCAGGGTAAAAAGGACATTCACACATGGGTTCATCAGTGCAGCCTCAAAATCTGTGCAGGAGTGAAGTGGGTACCCATGTAGAAGAGCAACCTGAGTGAGCTGCCTCAGCTGAGACAGCCTAAAGGAAGTGAGGATGATGTCCATGTGCAGAAAATATTCAGTGGAGATGAGCCATGGGGGAGTGATTACATATAGAACAATAGACCAAATAAGGGAATGGAAGCCTGGCTTCTTACTGTCAGAGAAGGGATTCACATATGGGGGAAGAAAGAAATCCAGCCGCTGGATTGCAAAGGGAGGAGTCAGTGGAGTCAAATGTCTCAATTATAGAGACAGACACAGAAATAATATAGATGTATTGTGATGAAAGAGTGGACAGAAACAATAACACCTTTATTTTTCATGGGGTGGCTGGTGACATAAAGCCTAAAGATGCTTGTAGCATATTTAAAAATATTTCATTTACTATTTTTATTTTATGTGTATGAGTGTATTTCCTGCATGTATCTAAGTGCACTCCTGTCATGTAATACATTTGGAGGTCAGAAAAGGGCATTGGATTCCCCTGGATCTGGAGTTACAGACTGTTATTAGCTGCCATATGGGTTCTGGGAACCGATCCCAGGTCCTCTGCAAGAGCAGTCAGTGCTCTTAGTCACAGAGCCATCTCTCCAGCCCCACTTGTAGCTTATATACCATCATAAAAGGAGAGGTTGCTTGGGAATAAAATCCACAAATCTTAGTGGGTTAATTGACTTTAGATAATAGAAAAAAAGGACTGGGGAGATGACAGCAGTAAAGCCTTTGCAGTGCAAGTCTGAGAACAGGAGTTCAGATCCCCAGAACCCATGTAAATGCCAAATGGGTGTGTAATCCTAACAGGCTGGAGGTGGAGACAGGGTATCCCCAAAGCAAGTTGGCTAGAGCAACTAATCTGTGAGCTTGTTCAGAAAGCGATCCTGTCTCAATATATAGTGTAGAGAACAATCTAGGAAGACACATAAGATTAATTTTCTGCCTCTACATGCATGCACACACAACCTGCACACACAGGTGCATCCACATACACGAACTTGCAAACACACATGCATACATATCTGTACAGATAAAACACATACACACATATCTGTACAAATAAAATGGTAGTAATAAAATAAAAATAAATTATAGAAAACAAGTTTGAAAGAATTATAAATATGTTAATTTTTTAAAAA